GACCTACCTCGGCTCCACCGGTGCCCTATGTAATGGATTTGAGGCTCTGGGACTTGAGGGAGAGGTGCGTGAGGATGCGGTGGGAGGCCCAGCCGTGAGGTTTCCTAGGGCGAGGCGGCTGACTGATTTCTCCACAGAGAATTCAGGAATGAATACTTCTAACCCAGGATGGTTGCAGTCATGGTTTGGCAAATGGAAACGGATGACTGTGTCCACATTTACCTCTTTGACTGTGTAGCAGGAGCCCTGATGGCCATCGCATGCTGTGTTATCCCCTGTATGAGGGGACTGGGACAGCAATCGATTGAGGCAGCACAGTTGAAGCAAACACCAGCGGAGCCACCACCATATTCAGATAAAATGGTGGTGTTAGAGGAGATGGGGAATGAGGAAAGGGAAGAAGAGGAAGATGTCTATGAAATGGCACCATAGAAACAAACTGCAATAATTAAGCATGCATAAAGAAGAAAAGGGGGAAAGAAGGGAGGAACTGTGGGAATGGGATGTTGTTTCTGCGTTAGATCTCAAAAAGGGGGAAGTGATCGGAAAAGTAGAGCACAGCGTGTTTGTATTTTGTAACTTGTCCTTCGAAATAGCTGGCGTGAAAAGTAGAAATACCAGGCGGAAGGACAGTCGCTGGATTATGCGATGCTTGCAGTTTTGCAAGCAAGAATTAGTTTTTGAGCGTAGTGACCAGTACGGCTATAGTATTGTGGGCTACAAGCGTGTTGTGAGGCCTCCTGCTGGGACGGGAGACCCGTTATCCTCGGCGTTCTGTAGCCGCTGACCGAGCGGCACCGCCGCTGGCGTTCCGTCACGAGGGAGCCGAATTCACGCCTGCCGGCCGCACCGTTTGCTTTTCGTCCGACCGCGCTTCCAGCGGGCGCCGTCAGACAGAAGGGCGGAGCGGCCGTAGGAGCGCCGAGCGAAGCGCAGCCGCGGCCTCCGCAGCAGGCGGGGCGGGGCGGGGCGGGTGCAGTGAGCATCCCCGCCCCGCCTGACGGCATCGCGGCGCGCCGGCGCCGTTCCGGCCGGTGCCGCTCGGTGCCGATGGCCGCGCGTGCCGCGCTGCGCCAGACCGCCCGTCTGGCCTCCTCCGGCGCCCTGCTGCAGGTGCGGGCCGCCCCGGCAGCCCCGTCCCCTCCCGCTGCTCGCCCTCCTCGGCGGCGCCCGTGGCAGCCGGCCCGGCCCCCCGGCGGCGCTTCCCGCCCCGCTTCCTCCGCAGGTGCTGTTCCGGGCGGCCGCCTTCGGGCTGAACGCCCTGACGCTGCGCCGCCTCTCCGGGGAGCTGCTCGGCGTCGTCGGCGTGAGGTGACCGCCGTTCCGCCTTCCGGCCGCGGGCGCCGGCGATGAGCCGCCCCGCGTGGCCGCGCTCGGTTCCGCGCGGCGGGACGGGTTACCGACGGGCGCCCGCGGAGGCGGCGAGCGAGGGACCGACCGCGCGCTTCCCCTCCCGTCCCCTGCAGGCTGACTCTGCTCCATTCCACGGCCGTCTTCCTGGCCAGGGAGGCGTTCCGCAGGGCCTGCTTGAGCGGCGGCGCGGAGCGGAGCTGGGCCGCGACCGTCAACCTGCTGTGGCTGACGTGAGAGCTCCTCGGCTGCTCGGCACTTCTCGCTGCGCTCCGGGAGCTCGCGGGAGGAAGGCGTTCGCGTCGCCGGTTTTCGCCCGAGAGCGGCGCCGTGCCGAACGCGAGTCGGCCGTCGGGCGGCCGCGGGGTCCGAGAGCGGGGGCTCGGATTCGCCCCGCTGCGGTGCCGCGAAACCTGCCGCGCTCCGGCCGAGGCCGCGGCTCCCGAAGCGGCGTCGGCAGAAGCGGCGCGGGTCTGCACCGCGTGCCTCGCTCGCCTGGGCTGCGGGCGCGTGTTCTGCTGCTGCCTGCGCTGTGGTTGCTGGAAGGCTCGGCGCGGCGCTGGGAGCGGTGGCATCCGCGCTTGTGGATCCAGGCTTCACGCAAAGCCTGGAGCTGCGCGTGGCAACCTGTAGGTACAGCTTTACAGCAAAGCCTGGAGCTGCACCTATTCGCCTGTAGGTACAGCTTTACAGCAAAGCCTGGAGCTGCACCTATTCGTCTGTAGTTACAGCTTTACAGCAAAGCCTGGAGCTGCACATATCAATCTGTAGGTACAGTTTTAAGCAAAGCTTGCAGTTGCAATAGAAATGAATTCGTCAGATCTCTTGCCCAATAAGGAAAGTATACCAGCACGTGAAATTGTAATCGGGTTTTCCCCTGTTCTTTTTTCTGCCTGAGAAACCCTGACTGTTGTTACGTTGCGTTTCAGAGTCCCTCTTGGTGCTTTTTGGTCTGTTTCCTTGGGCTTCGTCTGGCTGCACTTCCTTGAAGTTCCTGACCCGTCTGTGGTTCCTCATTATGGGGCCGCTGTTGTGGCGTTTGGCCTTTCTGCAGTCGTTGAGCTTCTAGGAGAACCGTTCTGGGTTTTAGCCCAGGCTCACTTGTTTGTAAGACTTAAGGTTGGTAAGGAAGCTACGTGCACAGGGCTGTGTGTGTGTGAGAGAGAGCGAGCGAGAGAAATCTTTTCCTAGTGGAACAGAAATGCTGTAAAGAACGGATTCCTGCCCGGGTTATGTCCTTAATGATCATTAAATATGTAATCACGAGTGTTAATGGGAGGGAGGCACAGACGGCTTCCCCAGTTCTGCTGTCCATGTCGGGATGAGATGGTGAAGGGCAACAGCTGGGCTCAGGGCTGTGTCAGCCTGATGTGTTCCGTGTGTGTCCCACATGAGGGCTGGGGCAGTGCGATGGGGGAATTGTGCACCGTGAGACGTGAGGATGTGCAGAGAGGCTGCAGTCTCAGGTGGCCAACGCAGCAGGAGAGCCGCGGTGGTCACGCTGACTTTGGATGCCTCGTATTCCTGTGTGGGCTGTGTGTGTGGAACTGAAGTGCTTTGTGTTCCTGTCGGTGGTTAAGCTGGCACAAAGGAACGTTCTGTGTCTTCTCTTTCTTGAAGGTAATTGCTGAAAGCCTTTCCGTGGTGTCCAAATGCGTCCTGACGGCCATTCTGGTCATCCTTTATCCGCAGTGGGGCCTTTACATTTTTTCCTTGGCTCAGGTAAGCCTCCTGTATTCTTTCTCCGCATAAATTCTCGCTCTGCAGAGTTACGTGCTGCTGCCTTTGACGTGCAGCCTGCTGAAGAGCAGCGGGGAGGTGAGAGAAGGTTCCTTTGCGGGTAGGATTTAAGCGTTGGGAATTGTGGTGGTAGCTGCTACTGACTTGGTGTTTTGAGCCCGGTCAGTTTAATGGAGGTACAAGAAGCACCTTTGTTGCATGCAGAAAGGCAGGTTTTGCACATAAGGTTGCTATGCTGAATGTGCTGTAACTGTTTTGGAAGTGTCAGCTGTTTTTTGACCCAATAGTTGTGTTTCAATTGGACTCAGCGGGATCTTTCTAAAAATACTGAACAGGAGGTGAGTTGGCACAGGACTGTGATGCTGATCTGCTGATTGAAGAAATTTCACTCAACAGCATTCTGTGCGGGGGGAGGGGAGTTGCAGTAATGCCTTCAGCCTGATTACAATTTGACAGGAGTAAGAACTTCTTCCTGCCTTCAGTTCCCACTGAATCGGCAAAGCTCGCACGTGGTTCTGCAATTGTAAGTTGGTTTTGTTTTACTGTTCGTTGTTGTAATTCTTTCCTTCCCCGTCTTTTCAGCTTTTGTACACCAGTGTTCTGGTGCTGTGCTACGTGGTTTACTTTGCAAAGTTCTTGGGATCTCCTGAAGCAACAAAGAAGTCCTTTCCAATTCCAAGCATGAAAGCTCTGTTACCGAACGTGATGGAAGATAAGGTGGGGCGCACAGTTCCTTCTCGAGTCTTTGGTGAGAGAACTTTTGGCAGCTGCTTGCAGGTGATGGAGTGAAAGGAGTGATTCTGAGGTTATGAGGTACGGCTGTTAGGAAACATGGTTGCCTAAAATTGCATTGACAGTTGGAGTGTTCAGATCCTTGTCAGAAAACCTGGAGCTCTCTGTTTCGGGCCTTGTTGGCTGTCTTGTCTTCCAGTAGCTTTGCACAACCCGTTAATTGGAGGTGGAAGGTTTGCAGTGTTAAAGGGAGTGAGCAGGTACCAGGCAGAAGGTAGGAGAGAATCCAGGGCCATCCTGTAGTGCTGGTACTTCACCTTTTCCTCGAGCAGAACGTGGTGGTGCACAGCATCCTACAGATACTCAGATCTCTGATGTCCTCTGAAAAGGAAATGGGGCAAAGAAGGAAATGAAAAGGCACGGTGAGGAAAAAGGCAGAAGTTCTGAGGGAGGGATGGAGAGACTGAGAGTAGAAAGGCAGTTCTGGCTTGTGAGACTTGCAGGAAGGCTTTGAAGAGCACTGAGAGATGAGTTTGACTGTGAGGGTTCTGAGAGGTCTATGGGTGCACTAAAGGACTTTTCCCCCTCTCTCGTTCCTGCTGAGTGCTGTGTGCTGCAGAAAGCTGATGCAGTTCTGTTGTGCGTCTGCAGCGATAGTGATCGTGCGCCAGGGAGAAGTCAGCCAGGGGAGAGTGACGTTGTTTGCTGGATTTTGCAGACATTCCTGAACTGGAAGGAAGCACGGCTGACTTGGAGCTTCTTCAAGCAATCCTTCCTGAAGCAGATTTTGACAGAGGGTGAGGCTGGATGTGCGGGCGTGTTGGGGAAGGGCAAGTGAATGCTGGTCACCAGATGGGTTTGTCCTGACTTCTGTGTTCTGAACTTGCAGGTGAGCGATACGTGATGACTTTTCTGAATGTGATCAATTTTGGCGACCAGGGTGAGTGTGGTGATGTGGGGCAGCGACAGGATTTTCTAGCTGCTCCTTGTGGTCTGTTTCTGAAAATATTGGAAACCGTTTGAGAATAACGTGACAATGTGGGGGGATTTCAGTGGCACTGGGGTATGAGCTGCATTTCAGAGAATGATGGATAAACAGATATTAAAATAAACAACAGCCCACACCAAAACACCAACAACCAAAGCAACTTATTTGAGGGTCGTGCATTTAAATAATATTTTGCACTGGATCAGAACTTTGCAGTTGTGTTTGTTTTGCTGTGCACCTTGTTTCTGTTTTAAGAAACTGGAAGAGGAAGGTACGGTGCCTGATGCACTACAGTTCCTTCTCTTCCTTTGTTTGGTCCCGTTTTCTTGATGTCTTTTGTTTGTAAAGGTGTGTATGATACCGTGACCAATCTGGGTTCGCTGGTGGCCAGGTTCATCTTTTTGCCCATTGAAGAGAGCTTTTATGTCTTTTTTGCGCAAGTATTGGAAAGAGGGAAGAATGTAAAGGATCAGAAGCAGGTATGTTTGTCAGTCTTAGTTCCAGTGAAATGCTTGCCTTGTGTTGGAGATGAATTGTCTCAGGAATGTGAGTGGTGTGTGTGTTTAAATTGTGGAGCATCAGGACTGTTGAAATGGAAAGCAGTTTGAAGTGGAGAGCGTGCCCAACAGGTCTGGAGCAAAAAGCAGGCAGGTGAAAAGCCAGCAAAGTAGGAGTTAGGGGTGCAATGGCGTAACGCTGCATCGTCTGGTAGCTCCCAAGTTGCTCCTTCTGCTGTGGCAGAACTTGTAGTCCAGGGTGTAGCAGTGAAGATGTGAGCCTTTGGGTGCTTCAGGCTGTGGCCTTGGGCAAATGCTGTGCTTTCCTTTGCTATTTGCTGGCTGTTAAGAGGTGCAGCTGCTGTTTGCCCTTTTCCTTAAAGCCTGCACCCGAGCTGTGAATGGCTGATGTTTGTGTAGATTTCTGCTTATCACGCAGAAGAAAATAAGAATACATGAGCACAGTTGGAAGCTAGGACCATGTGTGTGGGTGTTTCAATAGCAGAGCGTAATTCTGATGCTGCCTTGCATAGTGCCAGTGGACGTTTTCCCCATGGAATCGTTTTTCTTGGTGAGAACAGCAGTTGTGCTGATTCTGGTTGGCGTAATGGACTGCTGGGTGTTGTTGCTTTATTTTTGTTTTCTCCCCAGGATGATGTTGCTATGGCTGCAGATGTGTTAGAGCTGCTGTTGAAGCTGGTGCTTCTGATCGGCCTTACCATTGCTGTTTTTGGATATGCCTTTTCTCAGCTGGCCCTGGATATTTATGGAGGTTCGATGCTCAGTTCTGGGACAGGTAAGAAGTTTGAGCTGCCGTTTTTGTTCTTCAGCTCTGTGCTGAGATCTTGGCTCAGTCAGCTTTCTGCCTGAGAAAAATCAGCTCAGGTTAAAAGAAGCTTTAAGCCCTGAGTCCTGGTGTGCATTTTGAGCTGCGTTCTGCTCTGTTGTCCCCTGGCCTTGTTCTGGGAAAAGGATTTAATTCCTTTGTCCTCCTGTCGATGCTTACACCTCGAATATTCCAGCTGTGGCAGCACTGTAGCTCCCAAAGTTGCCCGCCGGGATGATAGCAGAGGCTGGGATGTTGCTGAGCAGTAGTGTTAGCGAGATTAGGAGGTTTACAAGGAAGGAAGGATGAAGAAACTGGCTTTTCATGAGCTTTAAAGCTACACGTATCTTTGAGCTGCAAAATCTAAATGTCTGGTTTTAATCCAGCTATCTAATCTAGCTGTGTAATCTAGTGCATCTAATCCTTAATCTGGTGTTGAATGTGTTGAGCAGCTCTGTTGTTTTTTCTTCTTCCTTTTGTATTCCACTCGTGTATTTGATTGCTGTGAGCACATGACAATGTCTGCTGGATCTTTTCTCACAAGATCTGTACAGTGAAAGAATTGGTTTGCAGTACGGTGGAGAATCCCATTGAATGCAATCATCACTTTGGTGCTGGAGATCTTCTCTGTAACGTTAACAGCTGCTCCTCTCTTGTCTTCTGGTTTTGGTTTTGCTTGGCCTTGTCTTTTCTGTCTGTGTTCTTGTCAAGCTGTCCAGAGCAGAAGCTTCTCAGAGGCAGGTAGAAGTTGCCATTATAGCAGTGATCATGTTACAGCTTTTATCGCCGGGTATAAAAGCAGTGCGGTTTTGTCAAAGAAGCAGTGATCTCCTTATCCTTGTAATGTTGTGATCTCTGTTTTGTTTCAGGTCCAGATCTTCTGCGGTGCTACTCCCTGTATGTCCTACTTCTTGCTGTCAATGGAGTAACAGAATGTTTCACCTTTGCTTCGATGTGCAAAGAAGAGGTAGACAGGTGAGGAGTATCCCCTGTGCGTTTCTGTAACCACCTGTATGTGATGTGCATGGAGGTCAGCATGTGAATGGGGAGCAATTGTTCTGCTTGGCTGTTTGCTGGGAAATGCTTTTTGATCCTGAGCAGCCAGTTTCTGTGTGCAGTCACTTGAAGGGCTGTGTTCCTGCCCCCTGAAGCCCAAGCTGCTGATTTAGGTGCTGGAGTGCAGACCTCAGTGTAGAAGCTTTAGTAACTGCTTAAACCTTTGGGGAAAGAGAAGTGAGTTGAAAAGGTGCTTAGCTTTTGGTGGACAGCACACTGGGAAAGGAATTTAGATGTGGAGTCTTATTTAGTGTACGTGTGCTTGAATTGAACTTCAGTTTTCAAGGTGGACTGTTACTTAAAAGTCATTACCAGCTGCAGATATTAATGGACTTCTCAGATGCAGTTTCTGTAGATGACGTTGGGAATGATCTGAGTCAGGCACGTGAGTTCAGTGCTTTGTCTGCCTTGAGGAGAGCGTTGGTCTGCATGACTTGCTGAGATCTCTCCCAGCCTGGATGTTCTCTTGGTTCTCTGTTTGTTCTGGAGTATTGGCACTGCAGCCTGATGGCTGCCATCGGACTTGTTTCACTTCTGCAGCACTTGTCCATTATGAGGCCATTCCAAATTATGGAGGCTTTTTTTTTTTTAGGTCCTCAATTAAATGAGATCTGCTTTTGACAGAAAGAAAGAAAATCTTTTTAGACGTGCAGTGGCTGCTTTCATCCCCCTTTTCAAGTATGAGCTGCTCTTCCAAGCCACTGCTTGGAGCAGGAACTGAGTGTCATCTTATGGCGCGTCATTTTTCTTTAACACCTGGCAGAGCAGGAGAAAATCCTCAGTCTTTGATATTGCTCATTATTGCTACTGGCTTTTCTGAGCTGAATACACAGATGAGCTGTAGGACAGAATTTCCTTTGCTTAATGTAGTTCTTGGTTGACCAACTGGTCAATGTATTTTTCATTCTTGTAGTGATTTCTTTTCTTTCTGGCTTTGTTCTCAACCTTGCCATCTGTCATGAGATGAGAGTAGTTGTCGCTCCTGCATTTCAGCAAGCTAATGGATTTTTTTCTTTTGAAAAATGTGCTTAGTAATTAAGTAGTGCAACGGTATGTGTTGTATACGTGGTTTCTGTTGTTTCTTCTTCCCAGGTACAACTTTGTTATGCTGGCCTTGTCCTTCCTGTTCCTGTGCAGCTCTTATTTCTTGACCCGCTGGCACGGAAGCGTTGGCTTTATCCTTGCCAACTGCTTTAATATGGGTATTCGCATTGCTCACAGCATCCATTACATCTATGGTTACTTCAAGGAAAGCTCCTACAGGCCTTTGACAGGCTTGCTTCCCTCACCGTTGTTACTGCTGGCTTATGGCCTGAGTGGAGGAATTACTGTTTACTCAGAGGTAAGAGTCTGCCTCAAGATTTTCCTGTCACTGCGGGGCTTTGTCAGATGGCTTTGTTACCAGAAGGAAAGAAATGCTGTTAACAGAACAGGCTTATAGCCATAGCCCAGGAGATTTCCCTTCAGGCTTGCGAGGCTGTGTATAGATCTACTGAAAATTGAACAGGGACATGTAATTACATTGATCTTCAGACGTGTGCCTGCTTGCTACGCCTTCTCCAGGTGGCAGGGAACCACGTACCTACTGAGTGAATCAGTTCTGCTGTCTGCCATAAATCCACGTTCTTAGTTCTTGATAACTGGTTGTGACAGTGCAAAGACATGGTCATTAAAAATTCTGTAGCAAAAAAGAAAAAAAAAGGCAGTGCAGAGGAAAAAACATCAACATGCAAAAAAAGCACCGAAACAGAAATGGCTGAAAGTGCCCTTCTTGCTTGCATTGAGGTTGCAGACTGGTAATGGCACAGACCAGTTATCGTGAGGTGGTGGTGTTGGGGAGTGCAGAAATGTGACAGGTGGAAAATCCACGATGCCTTTAACAAGAAAGGAGAGCTTTATTTTTGGCATGGGAGGTTTGCAACGGCCTTTTTTCTGAAAGGCAGCTGAGGAGGTTGGGGCAAAATGGCAGTCCTGTGTGGACAGCATCAGCAGAGTTTTCCTGATATATTGATTAACAAGTAACTTGCACATCTATTGGGATGGTCTCCAGAGGCACTGGACCTCATGTTGTAGTGCAGCAGCTGACCTACCTTGTGCTGCCTGGTTTTCCTTCAATGGCCTGTTTCCTCTGTTTCAGGCATTCTTCTGCTGCGACAAGGGTTGGACGGCAAGGCTGATTCACGTCAGCATCGGGGCGCTGTGCTTTGCAGCTACCACCATCACCATGTTCTGCACGGAGAGCAAGCTGGTCCACTTTGTCAGAAGCCAGTTCCTCTCCCAGTACATGAAGAAAGGAACGTGAAATGCTCGAGGGCAGAATAATTCTTGTGTGTGGTTGCAGGTGCTGAGGGTCGTATTTTTTTGCACAGGTCTGCATGGAAAAAGGTTTCCACATGAGTTTGTTGGAGGCGTTGGTAGTGACAGTATGAGTGGTTGCTGACTAAGCTAGTCTGTGCAGAGAAAGAGAGCTGAGTACTTTTCTGAGAAATTTTAGCTTTTCTTCCAACAGCCTCTTTGGTGATGAAGGTCTGCAGTGCAGCTGCCTGACATAAACTGATGGCCAGAGTTAATGTGGGGAGCTCCCATTCTTCCCAATAGGGAGTGCACGTATGAAGGCATTGTGTGGCTGACGTTTTAATTAAGATGGAAGCAAGGACCAATCACAACGTAATTGCTACCAAAATAGGACATGATGCAGTGCAGGAAACACTGAGTGATCAGTGGCCTGAAGTGTAAAGCGTTAAGCAGACAGTTGTGACACTTGCAGGGAAGCTACTGGAATACGTAGCACGTGTCCAAGTCCCAGCTGGCTGTGTAAGTTTACTTCCTTCAGCATCACTCATGTAATGAGAGCGTTGATTTGCTTGTCCGAAATACTCTGGAGCTTTTATCTGAACAGAAATGCAGTGGGTTTTTTGAGCAATGCCTAACAACAGCTGTGAACTGCAGTCACATGGAAGCTGAAGTTGCAGAAGGCAGAGTTAAACATCATTGACTTCACTCCTTTTCTGTTCCTGTCTGAGATGATCAGTGCGATCATGAGGAAATTTGTCTCCATGCAATGTCTTGCTTTTCTGCCAAGTGGAATGTTCTGTACGCTGAATAACGTTTCCTTCTGGGTTTGTGTGTGTTGGATCTCTTGCTTTTGGATAAAAACAATGCTGCCTTTTCTTACACAGATCTTTCATCTGGCTGGCTCCTTTTTGTGTTTGGTGTGAACCTGTGTGTTGATTTTTATTTTCAGTTATTGAAGATGGCAATGTTCAGATGCCATGAAGTGAGAGCGTAGGTTGCAGAATTTTGTTTGCTAAGGGTACCAGATGCTCCTGCTGGCCTGAGATCTGGCTGTGGCAGTTTCAGAGCATGGAGCAGCACGCTGTAACGACCAGCGTTCCCTTCACACCGTTTGGATGGAGCAGGAAATGTCCAGTGTGCTGAGACACGTCCAGCACCAAGGCTTCAGTGTGATCACATAGCAAACTGCACAGGTCCTCAGGCAGCTCTAGGAAAATCTTCACTTCCCGTGGCACTGTGGAGTCGATGGCGATAAACAGAGCTCCCAGGCAAAGTGCTTTGTGGTCTCGGTGTGGTACTGCTAGAGATGTTTGGTACTGTTGGAAATGCTTTCTTTACTCCTGCCATTGTCACGTTTCCCATCCCTTTGGGATCTCACCAGGGAGATTTAAATGAGAATTTGATGCTTGACGAATTGTCTCAGAAAAACCCAAGTGTAACCGTAGAAGGAAAAGGAAGGTGTGCTTTTCAGGTATTTCCATTGCCTGGCTGGAAGGTGGTGGGGAGAATTGTGCTGCCTCTTCTGAAGTCGTTCTGATATTTGTCTCAATCAACTGTCTTGTTTGCTTCTGCCTAATGTGTTGTTGGGGTGGATGCTGTTCAAACAGCTGCAAGTAAACCTGGTATTGAATCAGGTGTGATGGTGGAACTGTGATTGGCAGTATTAGGGAGTGTGTTTATTTTGTGTGTTTTCTAGTACTGTAAGTATTTGGCCCCTAAAGAAGTAGGGGTGTGTGCACGTTTTCTGTGAGGAGGAGCAGGTAAGGCTTTAACTCCTAGTTTAATGCCTTATCGGTGGCATGAAAGCTAATAAGATGTAAGCTGGAAAGCTTCTTGTGGTTTAGCACTCATAGAGGGTGCTGACTTGCTAACATGTATGCAGGCCTTTGTTAATCAGGAGACACCTTGAGCCTGCCCTGATTTGCTGCTTCTGGAGAGTGCTTCAGTCTGAACTGTGAAACCCTGTGTATGGTTTCCTATTTGTTGGTGTTTGAGGGTCGTGCTTCTGTGTGACTTAATTGTTGTCGTTGTAAAGATCAGACCAAGAGAAGGGATCTGAGACTTTCTGAGGCAGAGCACTGTATCAGCACATCTGCTGAGGGGCAGTGGCTTTGTTTGGCACAAATTAGGCAACTCGTTTGCATTCTGATAGTGCTTTGAAGAGCAGTTTATTTTCAGTGTAAGCCTAGAATGGAGTTTGAAGCTCTCCTCCCCTGATGTAGGGCTGGGCCATGGAAGCTAAGTGCAGGACACCTCCAAAGCTTTGCCAGCTGGGGGATCTAAACAAACCAGCGATGAGAAGTGCTTATCCCTGTCGTGCTTTGGATCACTTCCTTAAGGAGATGCTTGTGCTCTGTTCTTTGTGGGCTGAGCTGTGGCTCATGCACTAGCTGGCTGCGATCTGGGAGGAGGAGTGAGCCCTTCTGTCGGGGTGTTATGGCTTTGTGCAGCCCTTGTGAGCTTCGTTCATGGAACTGGATGGATGTGTGCTCTCGTCTGCAGCTGAGGTGGGACAGTTGGCTTTGCTCTGTACTTGTGGGGAAGACATGAACAGCTCTTTTGTTCTGTGACTTCTTGTCGCAGGCAAACACCTGACGCACCTCTGCTCTGTGTTTCTTTACTAGGTAAGTTCTTGCTTCACAGATGCTGTATTCAGCATGACTTGGTTGCAGAGAAGTTTCATGCAATCTTGCTGAGCTGAGAGTGGAAAGGAAATCAGGCAGGAGGACAGATGTATTACACTGTAACCTGCTCAGGGAGACAGAAATACTTAAAGCTGTGTGCAGAAGGAAGGAAGAGATAGGGGTCCTTAAAGGCAGGTAAGGTTTGAGCTGTTGTCGTTTGCTAGTAATCAGGAACTGTGTTTTCTTCATGATACAGTTTAGAGAGAGAGCTTCAATAAGGGAAGAACGTCTCAGAGCTTGGGAGGAGACTTTGGGGTTTTACCAAAACCTTCTTGTAGTGCAGGAGTATTTCAGACTCTCACTCCCTCCTGGCTCCTCGTTGGATGTGGAAGGAGTGTGCGAGAGTGCATTAATGCTGCTCCAAAGAGATTTGCTGGTGTGCTGGGAGCCAGCCGAGGCCCAGCCATGTCCTAGCAGTGAGAGAGCGCCTTGCGGCCACTCGTGAGCATCTGCTGTGTGCAGATTTCTCTGCTTTGATGAAAAGGTCAACCTGGCCGGTCTCGATGCAGAGATGCGGTGGGTCAGCAGAGCGCTGCACCGGGGCACAGGGAGGAATGTGTTGGTCAGCAGCTGAAGGTTATGGCACGGCGTGCTGATAAGGCCTGACAAGGAGGAGCGAGGAGGGAGCAAGTGCAGTTTCCACAGGAGAACTGACCTGTGGCTTCACTTCAGACCCTTGAGTTTGCGGTGTCAGTCGTGTCTTGCCAGTGGTAGCAGATGGGTTTTTGGGAGTACAGTTTTATAAAGGGAGTGCCTCAAAGAGCACTTCTCCTGCTAGTGTAATGAGCCCAGCTGTCTGGGGCAGGGTGGAGGAGGCGTGATCTGGGGAGAGGAAAAGGGTGGAAGCCTGGCAGGGTCTGGTTTGTGTGCAGGGAGCGTGGTGCTCCTTTGTGTAAGGGAAGCTCTTGAGTCTTTGGGTATCTTCCGTCCCTGCATCAATCAATGTCTGTCACTGCCCGTGAGAGCTCTGCTGTGTCCTGCACGGGTGCTTCTCTAGGCAGCTAGCTGAATGTGCTTGGAAGCAGCCAGCTCTGCCCATGCAGTAAAGCAGGCCCGTCCACGTACATTGTTTGCTTGGAAATTGTGTCAGTCTTCAGAGGTTACGATTTGGAGAGATGTATGCAGAGACGCTTCCCAGTTTGATGCATATCAAGGGATGTTTTGGAAGGATGAAGTAGTGGGTCTGAAAGAATGTCTGTCACCTCAACAAAGTATTCTAAAAAGTTCAAACTCAAATGGACTCGCTTGTAAAAGCTGCTTATGTGGTGGCACATCTGATTGCAGAGAAGTTAAAACCGTTTCCCAACGGTGAGTTTGTTAAGCAGTGTATGCACAGCTCAGCAGGTGCACTGTGTCCTGATGGAAGAAATGGCTGTGTCTAAAATCAGCTTGTCTCACCAGGCTGTGGGCAGGTGGACTGAAGAAACAGGGCAGTCTCTCAAGCAAAACTTGGGAAGTAGAGGTGCTATTCAAATTTTAGGTTTTGGCGACATATGAAAGTACTGACACTGCAGGTGTCATTTTCATTAGAGGTACTGATAACGAATATAATGTTGCTGAAGACGTGGCTTCTCTGGTGCCATGGAAAGGCACTACTAAATCTCCTGGAAAAAAAGTAAATATACATGTATATGGATATATGAAATGAATAGGAGGTGATGCAGCTACCCCTGGCAACTCATGTTTGATGTCACGACACCAGACATCGAGACAGTCTGTGTGCAACAGCTTTGATAATGTTAAGCAGGTTGTCATCAAAGCTGTGCATTTCATAAACTCCCCGAGGAATGGCAGCCCCTGCCGGTGAGCCAGCCTGGTGCTTTAGTTTCACAAGAACAAGGTGGAACATCCCAGTAGTTTTGTCTCTGTTGCTCCCTGTTTTTTGTGTTCTAATGAAAAGCACATGAAAATGAGTTCTGTTACTTAATGTATGTAAGGTTAGTGCATATTTTGTGTGCGGCCCATGGCACTTGCTGTCTGCTCAGTATGGCCCAGGCAAGCCAGAAGGTCAGGCACTCACAAAGTGTACTTTGCTACGGACTGCCTGTCTTTCTCCTTTGCTGGCCAAGGCTGTTTTTCTTGATTTCTGCCCTGGAGATACAGACAGCGGTGTGTTGCAGTCCTGTTTGACACATCCAGCTCACTCCTGCTGTAAGCCTTCCCATTTGAGGCTGACTGTGTATTCACTGTGGAAAGTGTGGGTGTTCCTGTGGATCTGACGTGTTCTCCCCCTCAGCCCCTGCTGTCAGATGTCTCTGTTACAGGGCATTTCAGCATGTTTTGATCTGGTGGCTCTGGTGGAGATTGAGGACTAAGATCGGGGCAGTGCTGGGGTTTTGGTGAAGTCTTGTTGTTTGAAGACCAATTCTGTTCAGTGTTTTTAGGAGGCAGTTATTGATGATACTAAACTGGGAGTGTATCTTAATGCACTGGGCAATAGTCAACGGCATGAAATTCAGCAGAGATAAATTTTGTTCTTTGTCTGCTGTATTAAAATCCTGCCATCGATTTAACAGTTCTTCATTTGTACTGAATATCAAGCTTAGTTTTTTGTTAGAGTGGTGTAATGTGGAACGAGTGGGTATCAAGCAGCCAGAGTACAGGCATAACCAGTTCACAACTGTGTCATCCAAGAGAACTAGAACGTTAGCCTAAAAGTGAGTGAGAAGTTTGCAGTCTGAGTGCAGTTATTGCCTTACAAAGGTGAGAGGTTGGCTCAATGCTCAGCTTCATCAGTTAGAATAACACAGATAGCAGTGCTCTGTTTTTCTTCAGTGGTAGCATAAAGTTTCTTTATTACTAGAAACGAGAGGCAAGAGGATTGCATGTCGATCATGAAATATCAGCTGGAGCCATCCCTGTATGGCCAACAAGCTTCGTGAAGGAAGTTAAATGAGCTTTAGAGCCCTAAAGAGAAAACAAATAGAAATGTAAGTTGGAGCGATTCACGTCCACTTTGAGCAGGTCAGGACATCCAACTGTTGTTAATGTTTGACCCTGCAATTAATAAGGCATGTTTTGATGCCAGATTCCAGTTATCGGTAAATCACGTGACCTTCAACAGGAAAAGATGTTTCCAAATATCAAAACTTCAATCAGTTTCTGTGCCACGTGCTGTCATTCCGAGTTCTTGTGTTTGTGCAGGTTATGGCAGTGTGCGATGACTGCCAGAGAAGCATCACCCAGATGAACGTAAGCATG